TTTGTAAATTATCAGTCAGATTTATATCAATAAATTCTCAACTCACAAAACACCCACACAATAAACTCGGAACCAATTGATATTGATAAAAGCTGCCCACCTAGATTGGACAAATTGTCCTATATTATTCTGTGCTCTTCTATAATATTCATAGCTACCTGTGGCTATTTCAAACCATGTGGATCAGGTTCAACCTTTTCCTCCATCTTCTCTGTTCTCTGTCTGTCTGTCTGTCTGTCCCTTGTCCTCTCTCTTTGAAATTCTTGGCCCCTCCTTCTTTTTTCATTGCCCAATCATAGACTTCAATCTTATATTACACCTTCCTTCACCTGCATATCAACAGCAATCAACACATGGACTTTTCTCTGTTCAATCTGACATGTTCATTAGTATCTGTAATAACTATTCCTGGTTGTCAACTTGACTATATCTGGAATGAACTACAATCCAGAATTGGAAGGATCACCTGTGATCCTGATCTTGAGGCTGGGAGATACAAGTTTCTGACCCGGATCTTGGCATGGAGATCTTGAGGCATAGTGGCTATGACTCCCAGGAGACTAAGATGATATCCTTGTTCAGCTCACATTTGGGCAATTATGTTGATGAGACTTTATGGAGGAACCTATTAATATTACTAAGAGATACAATCTCACAGCAAATGCCCTTACAATCTGTTCACCTTCTCTTCCAAAATATTCCCTGAGCCTTAGGTGCAGGAGTGTTTTGTATCACTAAGATTGGGTTCCAGAACTCTGCACTTTGATTGGTTATGCTTCTTCTGTAATGCTCTCCATATTTTGCAATGAGAAATTTCTCTGATAGGGAGTGGAGAGACTACACTTATCTGTGAGTGTGCAAACACAAAAGTTTATAGATTGTTGTTAAGGATTATGTTTGTTTAATAAATTAGTGGTTGTAGATTTTCCTTCAACATCCATGACTTCACTTGTACTTAGCAGTTAACTAGATTTCCAGTATCAGTTATGGTATCCTCTTGTTGAGTAGATCTTAGCTGCAATTAGAGAGTTGTTGGTTACTGTCAAGGTATGTATGCCACTCTTGTACCCATAGGGTTACTGTGCACAATAATTGTAGATGTGGTTCATAGGTGTCATAGCTGGGTAGTACTGTTGGTTACTTCCCTCCTTTGGAACCTTTCGTGGCTCCTTCTGGTACAATGAAAACTAGTCCTTAGGTAGGTTGTATCTAGATCACTCCTAGCTCAGGGGTTTCTGATCCCCAGTTTTGAAGTGCATGATGTCTCCAGCAATAGGGACTTAGCTTACTCTGCTGAGGGTAAGGGTAAGCAAGGGCAACAGGAATAGACTGTATGTTTTGGGAGCCTTTTACACATTCCTGACCAATAACTTAAAAGAAAATGTGTCATATCGGATACTGGGGGTTTTGTTAGGTGAACTTTGACTCTTGGAGGGAGCACCATCATTTCAGGTAAGAAAAGTTCATTATAACTGTATGTACACTGAATTCCATGCATTGTAGGTTTGGTGTTTTTGTTTTGTTTTTATAAACTGTTAATAGTTTGATTCCTTATGGAGTTTTTGGTTGTTCTTTTTGTTTACTAATATTTTTACAGTTATTTTTTTCCATTTTAGTAGTTCTGCTGTGTATACAGTAATTTCATTCCACTGTGGTTTAATTTGCATTGTCTGTTGCTGATGCTGTTGGATACCTTTTTCTGTGTTTATCTGTCATCTTTAGATAAACTGTTTTTGTCATCTGTGTATTCTTCCAAGTGTGTTGCAGTTTTCTATATAGTTATTTGTGGTCCATTTTGATCAGTCTTTCTCAGGTATGCAGGTGAGCTTGAAGAATTTTCAAGGGATTTGTCGCTGATCCCTTGGCATAGAGCCACATTTTATCTCTTTTTCTTTCTGTACAAGTTTTTCTTGCCTTTCTATCAATGTTTAGATTACTTATCTACATTTTAATACGTACTTCTCCTTTCTTTCTCTTTCTTCTTTCTTTTTCTCTTTCTATCTCTTTCTTTTTACCCTGATTGATGGTGTGGTGGCTTGAAATAAATGACCCCTATATGTCCATAGGGAGTGGCACAATTAGAAGATGTGGCCATGTTGGACTGAGTGTGGCCTTGTCAGAAAAGGTGAGTCACTGTGGAGGCAGATTTTAAGGTCTCATATGCTCAAGTTATACCCAGTATGGCTCACAGTCTCCTTCTGCTGCCTACAGATCAAGATGTTGAACTCTTTGCTCTTTCTCCAGAATCATGACTACCTGCCTGCCACCATGCATCTTTCCATGATGATAATGGACTAAACCTCTGAAACTGTAAACCAGCCCCAGTTAAATGTTTTCCTTTATAAAAGTTGTGGTGATGGTGTCTCTTCATAGCTATAAAGCCCTAAGACAGACAATAGCCTATCCTTCATAGTTTTACCTCCTTACTGATTTGAAAGAATGTAATCACATATGTATTCTATATTAGTCTTGAGCAATGCTAATAATGTGGCAGTGCTCCTAAATCAACAGGAAAGAGGTAGCCTGTTTTTCTCTACTTCTTTTTTGATTTGTAACAGTTAGTCCAAGGTTTTGCACATAACAACAGTTCATTGATTTGTAGAATCCAATTAATTGAGCATCACCAAACTTTTACTTGCCTACATAGAGACAAGTATCATTTGATACTTGTCTACATAGAGACAAGTATCATTTGTACATTCCAATGTTATATGAAAAGTTTTCTTTAAAGACAAAATGGGGCTAAAGGGACAGTAGCATCCAAACTGGACCACTGCCTGCTATTCTCAGTGGCTGCTGTTCAGGCTGGAAACTGCTTATTTGTGGTAACAAGTCAAGGTCAAGATGGCAGATTGGACTACCCAGAACCAACAGAATGCAATGGTTCTAGAATGCTGTCTGAAGTTATCTTGGTTATTCTTAAATTCCTGGACATTTTCATGTGATTCTATATAAAGCATTTCCATCACACATCTAAAACCTTAATAGCACACACACATATGAAATATATATCTGTATTATACAGTTATATAAAGTTGTACACATATCCAACTGCATACACAGTTGGCTTTCTTTATTTAAGGGTTACATATCCTCCAGATCTGCATACTTGGATTCAAACAGGCATACGCTAAGAATTACATACATATGTATTCTATAAATAATATATATTAAATCACATCTATACTGAACATGTACAGTTTTCTAAATAATTTAGACTAATAAATATTTGAATAATATTTTATTTTAATTATAAATTGTATTAATTTAATATATTATAATGATTTAGTAAGTATATTAAATTATTTTATCATAAATAATCTAGATATTATTTTAAATGTATAGGAGGATATACATACATTGTGCTAATACTACACCATTTATATAACAAACTTTGAGCACTTGATGGTTTTCATATCAGGTAAGTCCTATAGCTAATCTCCCTGAATACACAAGGAAACACACACACACACACACACACAATGCACACACACTTTTGTTGTCTATTTTTTATGACTGTTGTGCAATTTTTAGCTTGAAGAAATCTCTTTTGAATATTATTTACTTTTAGATACTTGCTAATAAAGATCCACTAGTTAATGGGTTATTAAATAGAGAAAAAAGAAGACACAAAACTGGAGCTGGGTGTGGACCTGGGAGGAATTAAGGGGAATTGATAATTAAAATGTTAAAAATAAATAAAGGACTCCTAACCATGACATCTTTCATTTTAGTTTCAATTTAATACTCAGCTGGTTATGTGGTACACATTTTAAACTACAGGACTCAGGAGATTAAGGCAGGAGGATTTTGAGTTTGAGAGCAGTTTTAGCTACACACTGAAACTCTGAGAGCTTTAAGAATGAGCAGCTAATCAGATAAAACCCTGTACTTAGTTGGCAACAATGATTGGAGTGGCAGAAATTCATGATCTGCTCACTCAGATAATTAGATACATCAGATAATTAAAATTATTTCTACAGAAAAAAGACTCACAATAAATTTATTTTCATTTTCTTTTAACCCATCTTCTGCTTGGGCCAATTAGTTGAAATGACATCAAAGGGCAGGCCTAGAGAATTGAATGCAGAGTCTGCCGTACAGCGATCATTATCAGGAGACAAGCCATGGTGGTGGGACACCTGCAGTTTCCAAAGCTAAGTAGCTAACTCGGACAGGTTTTCTGTGGTCTGGTTTTGCATCATTTATTTTTGAGATCTGCCAATTATTTCTTTAACACGGATACAAGCCCATTCCTCTCCATACCAGTAACCTTTTAAGAGATACTTCTATTAATAGTTAAGAGGATTTACTGTCTTACACTTTACATTCTGCCAAGAAACATACAACACTGAATAGGAGAAATGTTACTCTGGAAAGTAAAATTGACAAATGGCAGAGACTCACACTTGGGAAACTCACTTTAGGAAGCTATACATTTAAAAACAGCACCTTTTAGGTCTTTAATATCATATTCCTATAAAAGTTTATCCTTATTTTGTAGCAATGTTTTTGGAAAGAAGTCTATATTTTTCTTTTACAATTACCTAGCATATAATATTTATATCAGAGGAAAATATTTAAGAACTAATGGCAATAGCTAAAAAAGCTAAGTATGCAGATTTTCTATTAAAAAAAATATCACCTAAAAACAAACAGCCAAAACTATGGGAAGGTAGCTCAGTGATTGAATACCTGCTTAGCATGCCTGAAGCCAAGGTTCCAGTCTTAAGCACGAAAACCATAACAAATAAACAAACAACCACAAACTACTAAACAAAAACACAAACAAAAAAGCAATGGTGAAACAGCTGTTTAGGATGAAGAAAACTGGACACCAGGTAGTTTTCAAATTTTTAGGTTCCCTGTAAATTATTCCAAAAATATTCTTGATAAATCACTAATAGTCTACTGTGATAAAACTGTCTACTGGCTCTATATTCTTTGCAGATTAACCCTTACCCTGCCTAAGACAGTGAGTCTTGTGAAGATCATCTTACCTTGACACCAGTCACAGCCTGAGAGTCCTCTTTATTTTCTGTGTCTTGGTGAATACTGGGATTGTGATCTTTCTCTGCTCTGAACAGGGCCAGCAATTGTGTCCCTGAAGCCTGCCTGGAAAGATGCTCCTCCAGGCACCCTTGGTTTTCTTGAGAAAGGCTGCGCATGTTTTCCTAAAAATTGCCCCGCAGGAGTCTGGTCATCTGCTTTTACCAACACCCATGGATCCTCTCTGATCTTTGGCTGGCTAATGCTGGCCCATGTCTGAGTCTGCTGAGGACCTTCTTGGAATATTATTACTCTAAGCGAAGCAAAAGGCTGATCCCTACTGTGGATCAGTAGTGGCTTATCCACCTATTTTAGCGTTCTGTTCCAGAGAGAGCTGCTCACTGAGTGTGTATGCCAAGACTGCCCTCTGTAGGTGAGTAAAGAAAGTTTCTTCTTTATAAGCTGCTAGGCTGGAGCACTGTTAGAACAAGCTGCACAAATGACAAATGTGTTGTGAAAGCCATCTGAGGGGACCTTTAAGGCAGCTCCCCATCTGTTCATGGTACCCTTCTGATGTTGCCCCATGCCTTTGTGCCTTTATGAAAGCAAAGCACTCCAGAGCTCCGCGAAAGCAATGCTGCTGCTGGTTTCGTGGTGTGCCAGCCGCTGTTCTGTGGTTTGTCAGTACAGGGAGGGAACTGCTTGGTGGCTGTGCCCACAGGGAGGGAAGCACTAAAGGTTTAGATTAGGAAGCAACTGGGCCTGAATGTATATTTGACTGTGGATATTTCTGGAGAACAGCAGGCAACTGACTGTATCCCGCCTGTGTCCAAAGAACTTGGCTAAATAGTAGTTAGCCCTGAGGCTGAACAATAGTTAGTCCTTGACTCTTGGTCATCTAGTATCAGCCACATGTAGGATGAGTCTTCCCATTTCAGTTAACCCAATTTAGAAAGTCTCTCTCAGACTTGCCAAGGGGGTCATCTACATGATTCTAAATCATGTCAGACTGAGAATGTCACTATTTTACAGCTGTTCTTCTACTTTTCTTGTCTGCAACGTTAAATCACTTGGTCCTTTCCTCACAAAACTAAATGTTCCTCACGTACTTCTGTACTTCTCGTTTCAGCTGCTGTGGACTTAAAGAGCACAGTGAACAGTAACCCAGTTTTTTTCTCAAACAGACAATATTATATATACACGATTTTATGTGATAGTCATATAACAGGCGAGGCTTGAATTCAAACTGAGTTATGAAAGAAAGTTCATGTGGGTGGCACAGAGGAACACTTGGAAATATAAGAACATCTCTTCCAATCTCAGCCTATTTCATATTCAACCCACAGACCATAACTGCTAAGCTATTAATGGAAGTTGTAGGAAGAAAGAATTTCCATATTTATTTTTTCAGGTGTTTGCTTAAAATTTCCAGCCTCTCCTTGGAGAATTTCAACATCTCATGATTGAAGGGACCCTTGTATTGTGGGGTGCTCCCCTCTGGACCCAGGGTTAGGCACAGACCACACACCAACACCAATTTCCAAGCACAAAAACGAGTGCAAAGGATCCTTTATTAAGTAAGGCAAACAGTGGCTGAATCTGAATCACATAGAAACAGCAGCAAATAACTTTACAGGTGTTGATTTCAAGAGAGAAAGGGGGAGGTCTGTGTTAGAATGAGCTAGGACATGTTGGTAAGTTGTAATAGGTTAGTCAAAATAGTGAGGTTTGATTCCTGGAGCCTGATGTTTTGATAGTTAGAACTTGGTGATGAGTCTTAGGAATGAGTCACTGGTCAAATAAGGGAATGGACATTGTGGGCTAGCTTTAGGAATGTGATCTAATGGTTTAGCTAAGTGGGAGAAAGGTAAAAGGCAAAACCTGTCATTGCTATGTTTGCCATGCTTGGGCCTGTTTGCCATGATCTGGCCTGCTGGAGCTCTTTAATGATTTTTATTAGGATTTTTGCCATTTGCATCTATTCTTTGTCATAAAAGCACTCCCTAAAAGACTCTTAATGGTTGAAACAACTAGAGTATTAAAATCTCAGTAGACGAGATTAGCTCTCTTGTTAAGCATAGGGTACAGATGTTTCTGGAAACTGTAAGATGCTCATCAAGGGCTGCAGGGAATTGTTCTGAGAACAAAGATCCTTAATATTTAGAAGAAAGTCTAATTTGTCAGTTGTCTCTTGGACTGGAAATAAAACAGGGATTTCTTTCTTTCTTTGTTTCTTTCTTTCTTCCTTTCCTTCTTTCTTGTTTGGACAGGTCCCTAGTCCCAGGATGGTCTTGAATTTACTATGCAAACAAGGCTAACTTTGGACTCTGGCTCCTCCTGTCTTCCCTTCTGGAGCACTGAAATTATAAATATGTGTACCCCTTATTTTCTTGACTCTATAAAACATTAAAATTAACTGTTTTATTTTGGGGAGAGGGAGTTCATTACTAGTACACACTCACTTCCTGCTTTCTATAATAAAAAAAATTCCCCTTAGATTTGTTTTCCAAAGAATAATTGTGTTTCTACTTCTGGTTAAGACATAATGGCAGTGGCCTAATCTTCTGCCTTAAAATAAACTGGAACTTTCCATTCTTTAGCATTCTTATCTCTAGAGGCTTTTAGAGGCACACCAAAACTGCATCTTAGTACACACATAAAAACTGCATCTGATAAACAACACAATATCTATTTAAGCTTTTATGTTTTGCTAACAATTAGGTTTTCTATGTACAATATTCAAATATCGTGTAACAAATGTGACTCAAATTAAAATTCTGGAGATGAAAATGTCAGTTGCTGAGCATGCAGTGAATTTGAAGACATGGCCAAAGAAACTATCCAAGGCAAAATATAGAAATCAAAAGCAATGGAAAAATCAACAGAGCCTTGGTGAACTATGGGATCCCGATGTACATGTAGTCAGTCTCTGTGGAGAGGATGGAGTACACACAGTATTCTAGGAAGACACCAGTGAGATGGCCCAGCAGACAAAGTTGCTTGTTGCCAAGCCTGAAAATGAATTTGATCCCTGGGGGGTACCCATGTGGTGGAAGGGGAGAAGCTGCTTCCACAAATTGTTTTCTAACCATCACATATGTGTCGTGGCATACAGGAATAAACAAATTAAAAACAGAATTAAAAACCTTGAATAAATAAAGGCCCAAATATTTCTATATTAGACAACCTCAACAAATTTGAAATTTAAGACACATCAAACTATGATAAGGCACACTATCCTAAAACTAATCAAACTGGTGACAAAGAGAAATTTAGAAGCACTCAGAGAAAATAAGAAAACTAGTAAGAAATGAAGTCACTAGGGGGCCAAGCAGACTGAACACAGGAACAGTGCCAGCGGGAGACAGTAGGGAACTTAAACAATAGCAACACAATGTAAAGGAAAATGGTCAGCGAGAACTTGTTTCCCTCTGAAAACAATATTAAAAGATGAAAACAAAATACAGAAGTCTTCAGACATTCAAAGGCTACAAGAAAAATCAGCATAGGACCTTAACTATGAGAAAGGCTATGTGAAGTCTTTTAATGTAAAAGGAAAATGATAAACTCCCAGATCTGGATGTAAAAAAAAAAGTGTACTCAAAATGGTAACTGTTGGGGCTAGTTATGAAGATACCAACATTATTTAATTCTCCTTTTAGGTCGTTTCAAGGAAAAGTCCTAATAGGCGCTGGGGATAGCTCAGATGTAAGATGCATGCCTTCAATGTACGAAGCACAGGGTTCATCTCTTAGTAGAAACTTTAGGAACAATCCCTGAAATAACAAAACAAAAGAAAAGGAAAAATTCATAATCAATGAAGGAAAAAGGTCTGTTTGATATAGAAAGAATGTAAAATATATTCTAAACAAGCTTCAGGTCCAAATGACTTTATCACTGAATCCCAATGTTAGTTTTTGATAGTTAGAGGGAACACATGGGGCTAGGGAGAGACCCAAGTAACGAACTGGATGTAGTGGCACATGCCTGTACTTCTAGAACTGGAGAAGCAGAGATAGGAGTACCCTTGAGGCTCACTGGCCAAGCAAGTCTAGCATAATCTGGGAGTCCCAGATTATAGTGAAAAGAAAAATACCCAAGGGGGGATGTCTCCTGAGGAATGATACTCAAGGCTGACCTTGTACACATATGTACATGCTGGTGTAAGCACACACACATACAAAAATACACACCATGTATCCTAGTAAATTAATGGCATGAATGTTATACATGTAACTACTTTTTGATTGGATTTGAGGCTCAACCCATGAGAGGGCATTTATATCTGACCGGGCAAAAGCCAATGGCTATGTTAGTCATATGATTTTGCTAAATGGACAGATTGTCAAACTGTCTCCTAAATATTTTTGTTTATATACGTAGATTAGTGCTGCTCTCAACCTTGGCCAGAGAAGTTCTTGTGGAAGTGTGTTGAAATATTTTTATGAAATAAATCCTGATGTGTTTGCTCAATGATTTATGTTCCAGAATGAAAGACACACACACAGCCTTTATATTTTGATATGCCTTAAACAGCTCAATAGTTAGGCCACTGCCTTACCTCCATCAGTCAATCCTGAGTTATTACTTACTAGATTCTGTGTTCTATCTTGGTGCTCTGGACCCAGAGGGCTGCCCTACAGAGTGCTCTCCCAGTTCCTTCACATGGCAGCCATGCCTCTCTGTTCTGTACTCTTCCCAGGCATGGTGTCTTTCCTTTCCTCCACACTCTCCTAGCATGATGGATGTCTCCCCGCCTTCTTCTCTTTTGGTCCCAAGCTTGGGACCCTCTCTGTCTGCTCTGACCAGCCATTGGCTGTTGGCATCTTTACTTACCAATCAGAACCAACTAGGGGCAGAATCCCTCAGTATCTTGCATGTAGACCTGAGACTCTCTCATGCTAATAATTTTGGGGACCCAAATTAACATTAGAATACAAGCAGCATTAGACCAAACCCACTACAGAAGCGGGCAGTGGTTAATGCAGAGACCCATAACTGGTCAAAGTATTGAGAATAAGTGACTGTTGAATGTTGTGCTCAGTCCTAAATGGGACCTATATCAATACTCTCTTCTTATCCAAAGCTTAGAAAATATTATGGCAAAGGAGGTCTTAAAGAATGTAAGATCCAGAGGATAGATTAGAGTGCTATGAAATGCTACTTTCTATACAGGACA